AAGATATTTTAATCCACCGGCTACCGCGATCAAATGTTTCGTACATGACCGACGTTTTAGACTGTCGTGCTTTGGGTGCAGACCGACAGCGTATCTTTGTTCAAAACTTCACTAGGGAGTTTGGTGAGCGGCTATGCATCTAGGCCTGGAACAGCGTTTCTAAAGTGAAGCGGTTCGATACCTGTTATATCTACTGCTTCGCCAATCCCTTGTATCTGGCTCCTGACCCGTTCCAGCGCCTAGTGCCGGAAAAAAGACTCACAGAGGGGAATCCAACACCCATATCCCGAACAAGCGAGTGCGGAGGCGTGAGGGCATGTGATTGCGAAAACACAGCGGTCTCAAGTTATTTGAAGGACAGTCTAACCTGGTCTGGCCTTGGTACGAGGCTGCGACGTGCAGCCTATTGCGTGGGTGTTGTCCGACCTTGATCAACGCCGACTCTCGCTGTCTGGGTTTGATACAAGGCTGAGAAGCGCTGCATATTGAGGGAACATTGTCTGTCTGGTCAACATCTAGAGAAGGTGAGACTCTCGGTAGGTTTCGGGCATTCAGTAATTCGAAGGTGAGATTCTCGGTAGATTTCGGGCATTCAGTAGTTGTTTTCAAGATTCTGACCTTACTGCTAATGCCAGGAGCGATAGAGCGAAGTGGTGTGAGGGTAGTTTAAAGGAGAGCAACGGAGAAAAACTGTCTGTTTTGGACAGTTGTAATCTCCTTGCATCCCCATAGATGATTTGTTGCTACAGCTTTGAGCGTATGAAAGCAAACCAGGATGGTCTGTGTTTTTCAATTCTATGCTGGCTAAAACTGGCCACGAAATTTCGTCCTCTTATGCTCCGGTGGGACCGAAAAAGTTTCAACGTTTTCAGTTATTGTGACTACTCAAAAACAGGTGACCAAGTCTGTAGTTTATTGACGAAAAGTTCTCGTTAAACATGGCTGAGCTAGAATCCGTTTCTAAGTAGGCGAATTTATACTTTTGGTCGAGCGAGCAAACAGGCAATTGTTTTTTTGGATATGTAGTAAATCCACCTTCTTCCTACTATTTTCAGAATAGTATCTATTTGAGGAATGCTTCACACTTCTCTCTGTGTGCCAAAGCTCAGGCTGTTCATCGTACGGTCGTAATGCCTAGACCAACGAATTGTTGCCTGCAAGCACCTTGAAGTACTACCACTTCGGGTTTGAGTAGTATCCGCCTGTGGTGACGCACAAATACAGCGCCGCAAAAGACTCATCGCAGTTGCGTGCAGTTGTCAAGTGGCCTGAACACTGAACAGAATTTGCTCCGCACCAAGCAGCGATCGTACAGTGACCCTGTGCACGTGGTTGGTAACGGTTTTCTAAATGAAAAATCCGTTCATTGTGTGAAGGACTCATTGTATGCCACACATATCTACGGAAAATGGAGTAAACCAAGATGTTGACTCGGCGTAATTGGGAGTCGTGCCTACCTGACTAGCCACAACAGGGTCGGAACCGATTGTGAGCTGTCAAAGAGTTTTCAGCAACCTTATGAGTAGTATATTGCGTCACAAATAAAAAGTGTTGACAGCCAGATGATGGTCAGGCAGATAGTGATCGTTGATTAGTAGCTGTGAAATATCATGAAGTACGGTTTCAGTAACTTTGCACAACTTCCGTTAATATTTTCCTGTGAAACGTTTTGATGTCTGACAAATCTCCAGATTGTTATTCCAAATAAGAAAGAAGTGAATTTTCATTAGAACTATCAGAATGGACGCCCTGAGATGTCCAAAGTGCACATTCCTTTATTAGGGCGTAAAAACCATCAGCCTACACAGCAAAATCCATTTTGAGTGAACTAGATAAGAAGGTTATTAAGTCACTGGGATTCAGAAACAATGTTTTGCAGCGCTAGCCTCATAGTTGCTTTCCGAGGCAATCACCATATCACGCACTTCGCTACATTGTAGTCACTTCGTTTCACTGACAAGCCCTTTAAATCCATTCGGGCAGCACGAAGAACGATCAAATAGGACGCTAAATGACATTTAGTTATTTTTCCTACACTTGACTTATTTTTTCCAAAAAATGGTATTAAATCAAGTTGGAATGACAGCAGTTGACTGCTTTGAACGCAGGTAGAAGATAGTAACCATAAATTGACTTTAAGTGAATTACCGCACATAGGGCGGTTGTTTCCGAATACTGTAGACCATCTGTTCTGCTGGTCCACAAATCGATCAATATATAAAGTGCAGTTAATTAAGGGTAGCTGTTGCCCAAACACATCACGTGACTGGTTACCTTAGCCCTCTTACGATCTACGCCAATTAGGTATGCTTCAGTCATGATACCCTCGCAGAAGTTCCTGCTGCCTCATTAGTTCTGTGCATACTGTTTCTGTTTATTTTGCCGGCATCTGGGGTCAATCACTTGCAAGGTTTAATCCAGAATGACGCATCGTGACATAAAATCCCAGTCACAAAAATATACTTGAAGAGGCGAGGATTCAGACCAAGGACCTCGAAGTTCCGTGGAACGCGTCGATTAACTTTCTGTTCGGTTCTTCAGTTCAAGAAGATAGAGCAGTTAGCTGGGCCTGTGATACAGAGGTGGTTCACAGAGTTTTGGGGAAGGAATCTTCTATCATCTTGATGATACTACTGGACTTTTTTTGCGGACACACTGTTCATCTCTCATGGTCTAACTGAAGAGTGTGTAAGGAAACTAGTCAATGTAGCAGAAATGGTCCTGATCAAGAGATCGAAGTTGAAACTAGCCGCATCATTTGCATGCTCGTTGGAAACTCTGCCTGATCCAATCTCTGGGAATGACAAGGTTTTTCTGTAACTAGGATCCCATGGATCGACCAGAGAAATCGTTGACCGCATGTTAACAGAGTACGTTTAATTTTACCAAGGCTATCATTTGTTTTCATACGCGTTCATTACATCGTGAATTAGAATGTGAAAACGTTGAATAAGGTTTGGCTAGTGAATAGTCGAGTTCGGAATTTCGGGATATCCTGCTCTCTGTGTGCTGCACGAAAGCTAAGCCGATAATCTGACAGGGAGAGACGCGTATCGATCGGCCCTTTTTATTGCTTAGATTTCCTGACTCACCGACAAGAATACCGCCTCAAATCGACTATCTGAGACGAAATGAGCATAGCAAGGTTGTTGTATGCAACATAAAGAGTAGAATTTCATCAATATTAGCCTTATTAGACGATGACCACTCTTGATAATCAAGAATAACGGAAGCCTCTTTTGATTTCAAGTTGATAGCGAATTACCGAACCTGTTTCGGTCGCAATTGAGCTTCATCACTCTATAAAGGGTTGCATGATACTCCTGAGAGTTTTTGCTTTTAGTGGAAAAGAACTTTCGGCATATTTACTAGCGTTCTGAGCTCCGGTAGACTGGATTCGACTTTGAACATGTCGGTTTACCGGGGAGCAGAAAGATGGTATTGAGTCCACCACACGAAAGTGAAGTCGTTTCGTCACACCTTGTTACAAGGTGTCTTTCGGAAAACGTGACACCATGTGTGACACGAAGCACGTGGGTTGATGAAAAGCAACCATTATCCATGCCGTTTGCCGCACGCCCTTCACTGTGACATTCGTGATGGACACCGATGTCCTCGAAGTTAAAGTGCACGAAGCCCTCACAGGAAGACCTTCGTTAATAATTGGAACGTCACGTGTTCGCAAAAACTATTAAACCTCTTGTAACTGCTGCATGTACTAAGGGATTCAAGCCGCTAAGGTCACGCAGTGAAATACGTTCATTTCCGTGTCCGAAAACGAGGGTGTTGGTGAGAGCTAGCTCCTAAAGACCTCAAGGAGTTGAATATTTACCGTCCCTGTTTTCACCCACCATTCAGTGTAGACTTGTACAGGCTACCAAAGTCGGTTTGCATAGAACTTGATTAGCATGGTTCAAACTTAAGATGTGTCGAGTCGCTCTTTCTCGCAATTACGGAGATGAGGTATCTTCAAGGTTTTCAATGGTGTAAAGTAAAGTCCAATTTCTATTTTTATGAAAAGTATACGAGAGGCGAGATTCCGGTATACCCAGCTTTAATGATATCCTTAGGAGAAGTTTGTTCACATGAGTAAAAGACTCCTCCCTGAAACAAAACTGGTCCATGTGTTCTGCGAGTGTACCATTAGAATACACTCAGAGGACCAAGGTTCTCACCGGTTGCATGGGTCGGATAGACTTTTGCATGTTCTTACAAGTTGTCACTAAACCACCGACGTTCTTCACACATTTTGTTATCCAAACACCCGAGAGAGAGAGTTTTAAATTATCTCGATGAAGAAATGCGTCCGCTAGGGCGTTATTTGTTCATCCGGAATATTTTGTCTCATGCGTTTCTTCTGGTCACTGTAGACGTCACAGCTGTACAGACGAGGCATGTGGAAGAAAGTTCGACGCATCTAACTGGAACTTAGTTGAATCACCCTTTAAGACCTAATCAGTGTGCCATTGATTGTAGTTCATGATTTGCGGACATCAGGTTGACGGAAACTCGGAGAAAAAAGCAAAGGTGGGCTGTCCAAGAGTTTTCAGCAACCTTATGAGTAGTATTTCCTCAGGAGAGTTTATCACAAAGAAAATCCAACTGCTGAGAGAACTTGGGATGACGACATAAGACGAATCACTGTTGTGAGCATAACATATCTTGGATAGAGGTCACCTGGTTGACCTTACAAGCTTTTTCCTAGCGTTTTCCCAACTTCTTCTCAGCGTGCTCAGAAGTAACTCTAACTAATCTGTGACAACGGAGAACCATTCATATTCTTTGAATGTTCAAAACTGATAAACAGTTTTCATGTGATTGAACTCTTCAGTTTCATGCAATATTGACTTACTTTACGACTGATGAGGTGAGAGGGTACACATTTGTTTTCTTGCTAATGTTTTCAAATGAGTAGAATATATCGAATATACACTCATTTGCAAACTAATTTGGTTTTGCGAGAGATTCACCAACTGAACCTCTCGGTTTTGATGTTTCAGGCAACTGAATGTGCTGCACCAGAATCGACTACAGAATAGAATAGAATATATTGAACTTACGTCTAAACGTGAGATCAAGAGTACACTTTTGTTGTCCGGAAAGCAGAAGGTATGTAAGCCGTAGGAATGGTTGGTTACGCCTTGATTATCAAACTGAACCTCAACCGTATTGAGACGCACGCTACACTTGAGAGATTTCGTAACCTCAGTTGTGGTCCTCTGTTAAACCTGTTGTTGAGTTACTCAAATGTTGAATCCTACAAACAACTAAGTTTTACTGAACTTTCTGGGGTCTGCTCAACTTCGTCCGCAATGTTGAGCTTGGTAGGGGAGTTCCTCCGTTAGTAGCTTTAAACATATGGACAATTTTAGCAAAACAAACTCATTTGATGAATCTCTCGTTTATGGTGTTTAAAAGCATCATAAACGAGAGGTTCAGCTGGGTTCCCTGTTGAGTCTCCCGCGGAAACCAAACTGATACGAAAAAGAGCGTATTCCGCTGAGTTTGTACAATTTAGTTTCAAGTAGAACATGAGGTTGACGCAAACTCACGGAATGCACCTATCTGATGAGCCCCAAGAAGGGCGAAACCGGTCGTGGGCTGTCGGATAGTTTTCAGTAACCTTATGAGTAGTAGATGATTTTCTAGTACGTGTTGTACGTCGTATTAAAATGCCCGCCATCTTCAGTAGTCTCCTTCAAAATCAATTACTATCGGTACACTGCTTGCTGCGTACCTACCCTATGGAATTATCTTGTCGCTCATTTGCCTTGATTTGTATATCCTCAAGTGTTTTACAAAAGTAATTACTAACCGAGGAATTCGGAAGGAGTGATGATATAAGTTCTGTAAAACACAAACACCTGTTTGTATATGTACAGGTGAACAAGTGCAAAAGTGACATTTTGGTTTGGAACGTTGAAAAACCAAATCTGAGTAAAGGTCACAGCGAGGTGGTAGGTAGATTGATGACAAGGTATACATGAGGTCACAGCGAGATGGTAGGTAGATTGATGACAAGGTATACATGACCATTTTCAATTGGGATGATCTTCAAATGTCATCGCGGAACCAATTTTTGTCACGGTAAATCATAAGTCAGAAATTCAAAATGAAAAGCTATTAATGAACCTGCGTAAACAGTAAATCTTTTATTGGGTGGAGTATTTAAGACAGCGTGAAAGATTACTGAAAATGGAACCAAGTGCTGGCAAAAGAACATGAACATTCTTATCTGATGGATTCGAGCTTGTACACTACTTCCAAATAAATTTCGTTTTTTACTATTAACGATAATGTCCACTGTTTCTTCTACTTGATTTGTTCAAACTTTGACAACTACACACAAGTTACAGTGTGACCTTAGGATAAATGCCTCATTTTTGTACTTTTGACCATACACATGCATAAACTGTTAGGGTAAGGAAACTCATTGGGATGCTTAACAAATATTCATTCAATGATATTTTTGAACGTGTAAACATACCAAAAACAAATGTAACAGATGTCTCCGCTACGACAGTGCAATTAGAGAGACACAGGGAAGCGTGCTTTTTGTCCCCTCCGTACAAGCTCTTCTATACAAGCTCATCGATGATTTATGATGCGAATGAGTAAATAAAACTTTGAATGCGAATTAGTTGAGTCTTCCATCAACACGAAACTCTTCTGCAAATGATTAGATTCTGCTATCTGCTTGTAATTTTTTGTTCAATAAGAACCCTCATATGACGCAATTGTGAGACGACACCTACCTGGGGGCGAGATGGCGCCGTGGTTAGAGCGCGAGTTTACCGACCGGAAGGTCCGTGTTTCAGACCCGACCTGTGCCTCTCGACTTCCCCTGTTTAGGCTTGGGCAACCTAGAAACATCCCAGCCGTCATGCTTCCTTCAGGGTGGCGTGGCAGCTGGGCACCGAATGGGTGTTTAAGCTGAGCGACCTGGTGAGCCGTAAAACGAAGTCGACAGTTGGAATGTGAAGAGTATTCAGCGCTACTTATAAGTAGTGCTATATAGAGAAAATAAAGTCTGCTCAGATCTTTGAAATCCAGCATATAAATGCTTGGTGCCACCCTGTACCCTCTTCTTGTGATCAAACTTTAAAAAAAAGAGTCAGACGTTTTCGAAATTTCAAATTAAAGACCTATTTGTTATTGGGTTAGCGGTGTCATTGATCAATTTCTCCAGTGCAGTCCCTGATCTCAGGTCTACCTTTTGGTGTGTTGCCGAAATGAAAATGGATAAGCTAGTGCTACTCGATTTGTTTCACGATTTTACTGATTTTTCGCTAAGAGGGTCTGAAAACCGGTTAAAATATATTTCGCTAACCGTTTAATCCCATTAACACAGATAAAACCAGGAAAATGGAAATTTGACTTTTTTCCCTTACCGAAAAACTAAATAAAAGGCCATGTTGTATATTTCCATTCACAGGAGAAGAATCGTGACAAACCTCAGTCACCAGAACCAAACCAACTTAAGTGGAAAGAAACTGATTCTACTAATGAATGTTCGGTTTATTGATGGTACCTTGCGCGTTCTTCTCAGTAATGCAATATAAAATTTTAACTTCAGGATAACAGGAGGATTGCGGTATAAATACTGTTCTTATTTCAGTCTCTTGGCGATTACACCAGTGTGAAATTGCATGGACAAAATGAAACAGAGCTTGTGTATTTGTAACGCACTCCTCGACAGCCCACCACCGGTTTCGCCCTTCTTGGGACTCAGCAGGTAGGCGCACTCCCCAAGTTTCCGTCAACCTTATGTTCTACTTGTAACCAAATTGCACGAAATTAGCGAAGTACACTCATTGGCTATCTGGGCTTCAGGTGAGTCTTGCGAAACTGAGGTTGCTTGATTTTGAAAAGTAAAAGCACAGTCGGTATCAGAAAGCTCCAATTAGAGGTCATCTGTGACAACTAATCATTTGCAGTCATCAAAATTCGTGATATTCTTTCAGGTTCCCTGCCATAATCGATAAGTGAATCAAAATGACCTCTACACTTGTTCCTCTCAACATAGTTACATCCACTCTGCGCCGAAACCTTTTTAAAGGCCAATGATTAACAGACATGTCTCTCCAAAATAGCAGATTGCTCCCATTCAAAAAAGTTTGGTTTATCTTTCACCAGCATACACCACCCTGTAGGCATGGTGTGAAACCACATTCAAAATTGCGACGCTGGTCAATCAGTCTGTCAATCACTGGGAAGTTTCCGACCCGGAAACTAAAATACAAGCTGGGGGACTGGAACTTTCGTTACGATGATATAGGATTGATCACACTGATCGCAATCTCCGTGATTTTTCCTTCTGATCGCCCCGTTCCACAGTTCACTTGGCCCAGTTTCCTACCTTTGATGCGCGGGATGGGAGCATTCACAAACTGCACTTGTGGTATGGGTGGATGAGGTCAGGAATGGTGCGCTCTCAATCATTAGTGCACAACTAGTGGTAAGGACAAGCCTATGTGCAAGCGTGATTAACGCGCGTAATGCGCAATTACTTACAACATACAGCCCTTCGACACACAAAGCAGAGAACGACATGCATGTTAGAAATAGGTTGTGTACCTGAGATGCACAAAAGTGGAAAGTATTCCACACTGGGGCGAAACATGTGCATGATTTTTGCTGCTTCTATTCGCCAAACGAAGCTTGCTTTCGAATGTAGGTAGACAGCACAGCTGTAAGTGCCAACAGTCGCAAGTAGTCATCGAGACAAATGATAGTTCCTAGAGGACTGAAACGAACCCTTCTGGTAGACGTTTTTCGTATATATACACGGTAAGACTAATATCTTTCCAGAAGAGGGCTCTTCCTGGGTACTGTCCCAGTTGTGACTTCAGTTTTGTCACTTGTGCTTGCGTATACACGCCTCTGACTGAATTCGCCAACTTTTTCGTAAATATGCATAGACCTTCGCCCATAATCGGATTAAAATGGATTATTTCAGTCAGAAACCAAGAGAAACCTTTGATAGGAATAAAGTTGGAAATTCGGCAACAAAAAGTCATATCAATTAGGTTCCCACGGAAGACTCACCTGAAATCCGAATAAGCCCATTGCTTATGCTGTTCTCGTCCACCTCAATGTGCTAATGCAAACCGCCTCATGTTTCCGTTGGTACGATATTTTAGATACCGCAATTCAGGTTTGCGGAAGGCTGTCGAAGGATAACATTGAGAAGTTTTATGGATGCCTTTTCTTCCGTAGCTCCATTAACTTGGTTGGTTTCCAGGCAGACCAACACCTCCTTTTGTCTTCATTATAGCCCACCAAGTGTGCATAGTTGAAACTGACAGCATGAACGCCATTCACGTCGGTTGGCAGCCGTATCTTGCAGCGTCTCCCACCTGGCGCAGTGAGGACCACGCTCTCCCCATCCTGGAAGGCGAGTAACACCGATAGCATCCAAGCGTTTCGTGATCTCCTTCATACTCCTTTGCCAAATCAAGGGTTGGCCACCTCTCTGTTTACGCCACTCTCAACTAAGCATGTAAAACAGCACTCGCTTCGGCAAACGATGGTTCGGCATACGCAATGCATGTCCCAACCAACGAAGCTTCTGGTGCTGGACACATTCTTCAATGGAAGTACCGGTTGCACAACCGAAAACGCGCTTTCTAAGTGCTCCGTTACGGATACGATGACACCAACTCACACGAGCCATGGTTCTGAAACAACGGTTGTTGAACGACTAAAGACGTCAGTTCCGCTACTCAAATAGGCCAAGTCTCACAGCCATACAACAAAATAGCGCGTACTGTAGCTTGATACACACGTCCCTTCAGGTTCATGGATAAACCACTCTGACGCCATATGTGTCTCACATTATCGAATGCGGCCCGGGCCCTGAGCAGTTGCGCATTCACCTCATCTGTCACACTAAAATCGGAACTAACAGAACTTCCAAGATACGTAAAATGCTCCACAACTTCCAGTACCTCTCCCTG